ACCGTCGGAAATAACACCAAAGGACGATGCATGAACAGCTGTTTCCGTGGTCTGAATATAACTGTGCCAGTTGCTTTGATTAAAATGACTTTTCTATGATTAAAAAATATGATCTAAAAAATTGCCCCAGAAAATCCATCTGCCCAGTTGAATTTGGTAACTCATTTACAAGAAGTGATACTCTCTGAGTAGTATCAGCATGTTTGGTTAAGCCATTTGGGATTATTGTGGGGAAAAAAAAAAGCCTATTAAGGAGCTTCAGTTTTTCTAACCCTGACCTAAATTGACATCAACTGGCCTCTTACGGGAGGGGTGCTCTGCCCTCTGGTGGTAAAAGACACTCATCTGGTTTCTACAGAAAGGGCCAGCAGAACAGAGATGAAGCGGAGAGTACCTTTCCCCAGAGGTTTCTGGAAACCTATCTCCTTATTTCCTGGTCAGTAGTGACCTTAGGACTGAACTTGATGTGATCATTTTTGACTCAGTGAATAGCCAACTTTGGGGAATGTCTGGGCCAGGCTGGGCTGAGGAAGGTTCAAATTTAGGAATGTAAAGTGACATTTGTAGTTGGGTCAAAACTGAGGTGCGAAGACTTGTTCCCAGCATCATGAGTGCCAAGGGAAACCTGAAGGGCCGTTTGAACTGTAAGGTTTGTCAGGATCCTGTCTCCTTGCTGTGACAAGGATGAGAGTATATTCCACCATATGCCTCAGGAAGAGCTCTGGGTGAAATCCTGGGGCTGTGATTGCCCAGGGAAGGCTGGCTGCTTCACAGACAGCTGACGAATGTCCAGCTTTGTGGCCCTGGAATGGATTTTTTTTCCTTTCTTTTTTTTTTTTAATTAATTTATTTTAGTTTTGTCTGTGTTGGGTCTTCGTTTCTGTGCAAGGGCTTTCTCTATTTGCGGCGAACGGGGGCCACTCTTCATCGCGGTGTGCGGGCCTCTCACTGTCTCAGCCTCTCGTTGCAGAGCACAGACTCTAGACGCGCAGGCTCAGTAGTTGTGGCTCACTGGCCCAGTTGCTCCGCGGCATGTGGGATCTTCCCAGACCAGAGCTCGAACCCGTGTCCCCTGCATTGGCAGGCAGATTCTCAACCACTGCACCACCAGGGAATCCCCATGAGCGCTTGTTTTAAACAGTTTTTTAAAGATTTTTTCTTTTTTGATGTGGACCATTTGTAAGTCTTTATTGAATTTGTTACAATATTGCTTGTTTTATATTTTGTATTTTTGGCGGCGAGGCATGTGGGATCTTAGCTTTTCGACCAGGGGTCGAACCCATACCCCCTGCGTTGGAAGGCAAAGTCTCAACCACTGGACCACCAGGGAAGTCCCTCCATGAGCTTTTTTTTTTTTTTTGCGGTACACGGGCCTCTCACTGTTGTGACCTCTCCCGTTGTGGAGCACAGGCTCTGGACGCGCAGGCTCAGCGGCCATGGCTCATGGGCCCAGGTGCTCCGTGGCATGTGGGATCTTCCCGGACCGGGGCCCGAA